CTCTGGCACCTCCTGGGCACTGGGCACTGAGGGTGGAGGAGACTCCAGCCCCCCATGGTGGAGGAGGAGAAGGGGTGGGCACTGCAGAGGGTGGGATGTCCCCAGTGTGAAGGGGTGGCTGCCATGTGCTGGAGAGGGACACCCAGCCGGGGCAGTGTCACCTCCTGCCTGTGTCCCACCCCGGGCCAGCCAGCCCCCCACTGCCCCTGGCTCTCCAGGGTGGGTGAGGGGAGGGCAGGGAGCTTGGAGGAGCCTCCTCCTCAATTATTCATGGAGAGATCTCTGCTGATGGAGCTGGGGCTCTCTGAGGCTGCTTCCTAATGGATCCTGCTGCCGAGCTCTGGCCAGTAAGCACTCCTGGGCCCTGCAGAATTCCCACTTCTCCCATCTCCCTGCCATAAAAATGCCACCTTCTCCTGCTAATGATGCATTATGCAGCCATTACTGGGGGTTAGAGCCCTGCTGCCATCAGGCAAAGGTCTGTCAGTGTGGGAAGGGCAGGGTGTGCTCTCCAGGCAGGGAAATGGCACATGCTGGGATGTGCCAGGAGTCCTGTCTGTGCTGGAGGGAGGACAGCCCAGCTGGGGTCAGCTGGCACGGGGAGAAGAGGGACCAGCAGTCATAGCTGGAGCACAGCATGGTCTGCACACAGCCCAGCCCAGCTCCTTCAGGCAGAGGGAGGGAAGGAGGTGACAGAGGATGCTTGGGAATGCATCCCCTGGAACCACAGGTGCTGCAGGACAGCTCCTGTGCAGAGCAGGATGCCATGGATGAGGGGGTGGCAGTGGTGGAAGATGACTCAGGACTGGCAAAGCTACTGGTAGGACACTTTGCAGGAGAAGCTGTTAAATGCTGCAGCAGAAACACTTGCCAGGCTCTCAGCTGGTTGGGTTCTGTCCCTTTGCAACACTGTCCAGGGTTTCCTGTCACCCTTTCCTGTCCATGTGGACGTCCCACAGCTGAATTCCTGGAACTGGAAATATAACCCTGGTGTTTGCACAGCTCAAGGTGCCACAAGATCAAAGAGGGGGTTCATGAGGGTCCCATCAAGGCTTAGGTTACCTTGAGTAATCCTGTGGATCATCCCCATGCCCACTTTATCCACTGGCCATCCCACATGGAGAGCTGTGGTGTCCCTCCCATCCATCCATTCACCTCACAGCCTTTCATCCTAACAGCCCTTCTGACCTGACTCTCCATCCATCCGTCCATCCATCCATCCATCCATCCATCCATCCATCCATCCATCCATCCATCCCATGTACTCACCACCCAACTGTTCTTCCAGCTCCAGCTGCTGCTCCATGAGGGAATCCTTGAGCTCAGCCCTGGGGTGGGTTTGGTGCCCTCTCCTCAAAGGAGACTATGAAACCCTTGTGACCATGGTGGGACTGGTGTTCCTGTGGAGGCTACAGGAATGCAGGTTTCTCTCTCAGGAGGGAGAGGACACGTTGATGGGAAGGATCTGTACCCCTCCTTCTCATGGCAGAAGATCCTCAGAAGGCTCTGCCTGGGCCTGAGACTCCCTCAGCAACCTCCCAAAACCTGCAGCAGGTGACAGGAATTTCCTCCAGATTGTCATGTTTATAAAATCACAGTATGAAAACACATCCTGACCCCTTTTCCAGTCATATGTGAGTGACCAGCTGCCCACAGCTCCGTGCTGGAATTTCTGAGGGACCAGCAGGGCCCAGGGTGGAGCACAGCCTCTGTGGGTGCCTCTGCCGTGGGGGATGCACAGGGTGGACATTTGCAGAGAACTTTATCAAAGGACCTGGGGGGGCTGGTGGGGGACAGGCTGGACATGACCCAGCCCAGAACCCCCCGTGCCCTGGGCTGATCCCACAGCGTGGGCAGAGGGCAGGGGGGGATTGTGCCCCTCTGCCCCTCAGATGAGACCCCCCTGCAGAGCTGCTCCAGCCCTGGGAACAGCACAGGGAGGACATGGAGCTGCTGGAGAGAGTCCAGAGGAGGCACCAAGAGGATCAGAGGGATGGAGCAGCTCTGCTGGAAGGAAAGGCTGGGAGAGCTGGGATTGTTCAGCCTGGAGGAGAGAAGCTTTGGGGAGACCTGATTGTGGCCTTTCAGTGCCTGAAAGGACCCTACAAGAAAGATGGAGAGGGAATATTTGCAAGGGCCTGGAGTGGCAAGACAAGGGAATGGCTTCCCACTGCCAGAGGGCAGGGTTAGATGGGATATTGGGAGAAAAGTTCTTTCCTGTGAGGGTGGGGAGGCCCTGGCACAGGTTGCCCAGAGAAGCTGTGGCTGCCCCATCCCTGGAAGTGTCCAAGGCCAGGTTGGACGGGGCTTGGAGCAACCTGGGCTAGTGGAAGGTGTCCCTGCCCATGGCTGGAGGTGGGACATGGTGAGTTTTTAGGTCCCTTCCAACCCAAAACAGTCTGTTACTCCACGAAATCCATGTCCCAGTGCTGCAGGCATGAGTTATCCTCGGGACATCAGGTCACCGTGACAAACCACATCACTGAGCACCTCAGGACTGAGCTGGAAATGGCCCCAATATCCTCTCATGGACACAGGCCTGGTGAGAGGATGAGCTGTAGAGTATCTGGGGGCTGCAGTTTGCTGGAGATCCAAATGTATCCCCAGGGACCTTTAGCAGAAAAGGCCTGGCTCTGGCCAGCAGCTTTAATAGCAATCACATGGGATGATGGCAGCTTTTCCATCTGCACAGGGACTGTCAGGGAGTATCTTTCCCAGATGCAGCAGATTCCAACCTAAACCAACAGATACCTCTGGGAGCACCGACCATGAGCTGTGCTGGGGCTGGTGAGGACATGGTACTGTGGGCAATAGCTGGCCCTAGGCACCAGATATGACAGATGCCCCTGGGAACAGGCCTGGGTCATGCCCGTGGCACAGGAGATGCAAGCCCTGGAACAGGGAGTGGATGCCCAGCACAGCATTCCCTGGGTATCTCCAACCTCCTGCTGCTCAGTCCAGCCAAGGCAGGGACTGGCTCCCCCTGCCAGCCCTGACAGCCATCCCTGGCCAAGCAGTGCCACCCTGTGGAATACACCCTCCGTGCCTCTGAAGGGGGTGATGCCCTGAACCCCCACCCCAGGCCTCCAGGTCCATGGCTGGTACCCCTCCACCACCACCCTTGGTTCCCTCTCCCCGGTGCTGTGCATGACCCCAGCACAGCACAAGACACCCCCATCCCATCCCATCCCATCCCATCCCATCCCATCCCATCCCATCCCATCCCATCCCATCCCATCCCATCCCATCCCATCCCATCCCAGTGCTGCCACTGAAGCTCTTCCCTGTCCCCACTGCCTTTCCCAAACATCTCCAGGGCTGCAGCCACCCCGGGGGTCCCTCTCCCCCCTCCCAGCAGGTCTGCAAGGGGCTGGTGCCCTGGCACGTGCACTAGTTCCCCAGACACACTAATAACAGGGTTTATTATTAAATAATGAGGCAGGGACACGTCACTGTCAGGTCACCGTTTCTTATGAAACAGGGTTTCCATTCCAGTGTGGTGTCTCAAGCACTTTTCCCCAGTGCAGGGTCACTGCACCCCAGGAGTGGGTGGGGAAACTCAGGAACGGCAGGGAGGGGGAGGGAGTGCAGGAAGACCCCAGGGAGGAGCCACCCATCAGCAGCACATCAGGGCAGGCTGCCCTGGCTGGAACCCCAGAGGATGGGGTGGGACACCATCAGCTCCTCTGCCCCAAACTGCTCCCCCCTTTCCAACCCCAAGTGGTTCTTATTTGTTGCCCTGAAATGTTCTGGCTGGTCCCAAAGCTGGTGACACTGTTTGTCCCACCCTGAACGAGAACCTCTCCTTGGGAGCAAGGAAACCCTGTGCCAGCCCTCCAGCCCACTGTCACCTCCCACCTGCCCACGGTGGGGTGCCCATGAAAGTACCACAGCCCTGGGGACACATTCCTGGATGACAGGGCAAGAGCAGCACCCCCGGGAGCAGGGACTGGGTCGGGAGGACAAAGGTGATGAGGGGATGAGACTCTTTCAGCTGGGGCCAGTCCCAAAGAGGGTAAAGCCAGGAGGGGAGGGCTGAGCGATGCCTGACCTGCTTGGCACAGGTGCAAATGAGCACTGAGGGTGTGAACCCTTGGGAGTGGGATTTAGGGACAAGGGAATATCACTGTACCAAGGAACAGGGCTCCAGCAAGGAGAGCAGGGTGGGTTCCCAAGTCTGCCCCCTTATACAGTCCAGAACTTTAGTTCAGTCCCTGCCCCACACCCCAGCACCTGCCCCTGGACCCCCAGGGCAGGAGGGATCCTGTGACACTGGGAGGATGGCCATGATCCTGGGGAGCTCAGAGAGAGCTGAGGGAGGGCAAGGCTGGGACTGCCTGGGGGATGAGCTGGCATCCCTTCCCACCCCATGGCACAGCAGGGAGGGGAGCATTGGCTGGCAGAGGGGAAGGGGAGCTCACAGGGACCAGGATCACTCTCTCCATGCTCTGATTTCAGTGTCCCTGTGCCTGGTAGCTGGAGGCTCTGATTTATCCATCTCTGGGATGGAAAGCCATGAGTTCCTGCTCCAGGCTGGCTGCACCACGTACCCCGATGGCCCCAACAGCCTGGGAGCCTGGGCACCTCCAGCAGCCCTATCAGCAGCCCTGATCCTCCTGCACACAGAGCCCTTGGCTCCCCCGGGGCTCTGGGTACCACAATCACAGCCCACCAGGAGCTGGGAGGGAGGGGAGGGAGTAGTACTTCACCCCTGCACACTCTGTCACAGGGTGCAGGAGGATCCCCTCCACTGAGACACTGGAGGAACCCACTAGCAGGGTTTGACCTGCCAGATTTTAACCAAAAGAGGCAGCAAATGCCAGCAGTGACACCTGGAGATCTGCAGGAAGTCTGAAAGTCCATTCAGTCCCTGTCCATTGAGAGAGCTTCACCTGGAGCTGCTTCTGGGCTTTTTCCAGAAATCTTCTGAGAGGTTCCAGCCCTGGCTCTGTCCCAGCATCAGTGACACCACTCAGGCATCCAAGCAGATCCCATCCCTGCTACAAGTCCCTCTTGACCAGCAGCAGCCAGGGGAGCACAGCCGCCAGCATGGCCACGGTGAGGATGAGGAGGACAGCGAGGGCCATGGGGGACTGGCAGCACTTCACCCCCAGGGCTGAGCTGGATGACACCAAGCTGCCCGTGTCTGCCCTGCTCCTCCTCCCCAGGGAGCTGCAGTCCGTGTCCACCAGGGGCATCCCGTGGTCGCTGATGACAAAGATGTGGGCTTCCCGTGCCAGCGCCGCTGGCAGCCCCGGCGGGTCCGCGGGGTTTGTCCCTGCGCTGCAGCACCGGGCAAAGCTCTGCACCGGCATCACGAAGTGACTGGGCACCACCAGGGTGTTGCCGGCCTCTGCTTTGGTGAGATGGGACAAGGAGGACGGCGACAGAGGCATCTCCAGTGCCCGGGGGTTGGTGCCCGCCCCGGGCGGCCACAGAGTCTTCTTGCTGAGGAAGGTGACATAGCGGCACACGGGGCAGATGATGCTGCTCTGGACGTGCCCGTCCAGCTTGGCCGAGAGCAGGCACTTCACCAGGCAGTCGTGGCAGAAGGTGTGGCCGCAGCTGAGCCGCCGGTGCGCGGCCTCCAGGGGCTGGAACTTCTCGTAGCACACGGGGCACTCGGGCGGGGGACTCTCCTTGCTGGAGGAGGTCTCAGACATCCCGGTTCCAGCGGCCACGGGAGCTCCCCAGCTGTGAGGGAGAGGCACAGGATGACAGGATATGCTGAGTTGGAGGAGATCCACAAGGATCATCCAGTCCAACTCCTGGCCCTGCACAGGCCCATTCCCAAGAGTCACCCCCTGTGCCCCAGAGGATCAGCCAAACCCTCCCTGAGCTCTGGCAGCCTTGGGGCTGTGCCCACTGCCCTGGGGAGCCTGGGCAGTGCCCAACCAGCCTCTGGGGGAAGAACCTTTGCCTGAGATCCAACCTGAGCCTGCCCTGACACAGCTCCAGCCATTCCCTGGCTGCTGTCCCTGCTCCCCCCAGAGCAGAGCTCAGTCCCTGCCCCTCCTCTGCCCCTGCCCAGGAAGGTGGAACTGCAGTGAAGTCTCCCCTCAGTGTCCACTTCTCCAGCTGAACACACCAAGTGCCCTCAGTGTCCTCACACACCTTCAAATCAAGGTCCTTCCCCATTCTCCTTCCCTCCTTTGGACACTCTCTAATGGCTTCAGATCTTCCTTATATTGTGGTGCCCAAAACTGCCCACGAATCAGGGTCTTGGTGGCAATGATAAGCATGATCCACCTCTGCATCTCTCCTCCTCCTCCTCCCTGCTCCCTTGCCCTAGTCCTTTGCCCCTCACAGAGGGAGGGGGTGGCTACCAGGCACTGTCTCCACAAGGCATTCCCAGGAGCATTCATCCTCTCATTGTGGCCCCTGGGAGACATGACAGGAGGATCTCAGCTCCAGACCCCTCAAGGACAATAATCCCTGGCTGCAAAATCACTCAGGAAGAGGGATAAGCCCCTGGATGGAGCTGTGGCTGCCTGTTCAATGCCTGACAGGTACAGCCTGTGCCACAAGTGCCTCTGTGCTCTGGGCCAGCTGCAGGTGCTGGGAACTCCCATCCCACAGTGAAATCTGCCAAGGAAAGAAAGGTTTTTCCATCCCAGGGAAAACAGAGGGGCCAGGAGGAGCAGGGGAAGGGCAGGTCTGTGGAGAAGGTGGGAGCATAGGGCCCCACAAGGGTGGAGGGGGTACGTGACATACCCAGGGCAGGCAGTGAGCACCCACACCAGGCTCCTTCCAGGCTGCTGGAGGGTGTCCCAGGCTGGTGGCCAGGCCACTGACACCTCCTGGCTCCCTCTGGAGCACGGGGCAGCCACAAGGCTGGAGCCCAGTGTCAGCTCTTAGTCAGAGCCAGCTCAGCCAGCCCAGCCCTGGCCCCGAGGGCAGGGGGATGTGGGGCTACAGAGAGCCCCAGACCTGAGCCTGGGATGGCTCTGGAGCTCTGCCCTGCATCCCCCAGGGCAGGGAGCACTCACATGGTGCCTTCAGGGAAGGGAGAGGGGAGAAGAGAGAAGGGAGAGAGGAGAAAAGAGAGGGAAAAGGGGAGAGGAGAAAAAGAATGCTCCGCTCAGCTCCCTTCTCTTAGACTGGTTCAGGAACTTGAACTTCATAAAACCTGCAGGTTTTTCCAGACCTTGTCAGATTTTCAGACCCCACCCAACCTGCACCCCTTTTCTCATGCATGACTGTGTCCATGGACACCCTCCCAGCTGATTCTGGAGGGTCTGCCCTCCTCCCTCCTCTTGCAGAGGAGTCACCCACTGCCCTGGGATGGCCACTGCAACACAACAAGCCACCCCCTCCCCAGGCAAGAGAGGAAAGTTCCTCACTCCTGATCTGGTTTCAGAGAGATCAGAGACTTGATGCTCCCCCAAAGTGCTGCAGAAAGAAATCCCAGCCCCATGCTCCTGCTCCTCCAGGCCCCAAGGTCCTCTTACCTGCTGTAGGGCCCCAGGACAGGGGTCCCTCCATGCACTACTGTCCCCCGACCAGGGCTGGCTGTGCCCCAGCACAGCCCGGGAGGGCACCAGGGCACCTATAAACACCCAGGTGTGGGGCACCAGGGCACCTATGTAACAGCCAGGGGCTGGCTGGGTGTCTCACCAGGGCGTTGCACAAGCAGAGCAGGGACAGGGACAGCTCCCGGGGAGTGAATGTGGAGGAACTTGTTCGGGTTTTAAAGGGCCCACGCTGGCCTGGTTGGGCAGGGAGTGGGAGAGGAGGAGGCGTCAGGCAGGGCAGGGGCAGGAGCACAGTCCTGCCTGCCTTCCCTCCTGGAAAGGAGACTCATCCCTGGGGTCAAACCCCAGGGAAACAGGCACTGAAGGGGATGCTGGGCCCCCAACCCCTTCTGTGGCTGCACAGATGGGTGAGCTGGAGCATCCTGCACCAGGGCCAGGCTCCTGTCACACTCTCCTCACCTCTCCATCCCTCACCCAGGCCACATCTTTCTTCCCAAGCCCACTCCCCTCCTCATCCCCCAAACACTCATCCCTCATCCCTGCACACCAGATGTTCACCAGAGTCCTGGTGTGATGGTTCATGGCCCAGCAAAGACACTCTGTCAGGCATGGGGGCACTGCTGCTTTGCACTGCCCTGGGGGTCTTCCAGCACCCCTGTGAGCCGTGGTCCAGGCCCAGCAGGACCCTGTGGGCTCAGGGCAGGCAGGACCCCCCGGCTTGGCCACCTCAGCAGCTGAGGGTGGATCCCAAGTCACCACCCGGCCACGTGCAGGCTGGAAACCCACACAGAGAAGGTTCCCTGGCACTTCACATGGTCCCAGGGTGCTGCCCATCCCGGGCAAGTAGTCAAGAGGCACCTTCCCTGCACAGCCTTGTAAAAACTGCTGGCAGGATGGATCACTCCTGCCTCAATCCCAGCTCTCCCAGGCACCCTGTGTGTGCTCAGCCTGGGCAGTGACCAACCCACACTCCATCTTGTGAGTGGCCCCACAGGGATCCAGATGCTGTTTGCCACATCCACAGGAGGTCCCCAGAACATGGGGTGACACCAGGGTGCTGCCCACCTGGGCTCCCTCACTGTGGTCATGCACCCACAGCACCCGGGTTTGCACTGCCAGGGGGCCTGAATGCCCCAGAAATCCGGGGTCTTCATCAGGGAAAGCCTCCAGGAGAAACCCAGACATGTGAGACCCCCCCTGCAGAGCTGTTCCAGCCCTGGGGAACAGCACAGGGAGGACATGGAGCTGCTGGAGAGAGTCCAGAGGAGGCACCAAGAGGATCAGAGGGATGGAGCAGCTGTGCTGGGAGGAAAGGCTGGGAGAGTTGGGATTGTTCAGCCTGGAGAAGGGAAGCTTTGGGGTCACCTAATTGTGACCTTCCAGGACCTGAAGGAATGACAGGAAAGATGGAGAGAGCCTGGAGTGACTGGATTAGATGTTAGGAGGAAACTCTCCCCTGTGAGGGTGGTGAGGCCCTGGCACAGGTTGCCCAGAGAAGCTGTGGCTGCCCCATCCCTGGAAGTGTCCAAGGCCAGGTTGGACGGGGCTTGGAGCAACCTGGGCTGGTGGAAGGTGTCCCTGCCCATGGCAGGGGGTGGGAATGAGTTGATCTTTAAGGACCCTTCCATCTCAACCCCTTCTGTGATTCTGTGACACAGGGAGGTTTTGCCTTGGGGCAGAGCTGCTCTGCACAAGCAATCCCAGCCCTGTGCTCCCTCAGCTTCACGAAGGTACCCAGGGTTCTGCAGGGTACCCAACAAGGCAGGCCCTGGGGTGCCCCTGTGGGCAGCAGGGCTGGTTCCACGTGCCATGTGCCGTGGCAGGGCCAGGCTCAGGCGTGGGCAGCAGTATCAGTCTCTCGAGGGCGCAGCAGTCGCAGTGGTTACAACACAGGGCTGGTTTCTGGAAGGAGAAGGGTGGGTGCAGCCCCACCAGGCCACCCTGGTGCCCCCAGGGGTGACCTCTCAAGCCATGAAGCCCTGTCCCTCGCTGGGAGGAGACCCTGAGCACATCAACACCTTCTGTACCTCTCTTAGGCTCAGGGACCAAGCCACTCCAGTTGTTCTGCCAGACTTTTTGAGAGGATCAGAAACTGAGGCTGAAACCCCTCTGACAGATTGTGCCAGGGCTGGGGCTGCAGCGTCCCCTCTGGAGTGGGCATCCCCCTCCCCTGGTCCCCCCTGGAAGCTGCTGGAGGTGCACTCACCAAGATCCCCAGTGCTGAACAACAATGTGGGCCAGTGAGAGCAGATTTGGGGCAGCCAAATTCATTCTCACTTTGCTCCCTGCTGGCACCCAGGTGGGGTGGAAATTCCTGTTTCCCATACTTTGAATGCTCTCCTCCGTCAGAAGCCATGAGCTCATGGCTCTATACATAGGCACTGGAAAAACGAGTCTGCCTCCCTCTGCTGCTCTGACCACACCAAAATCAAAGGGATTTGGGCATATCACAGCCCCAGCTCTGGCAGCAGTTTCGGTCTTTCCCAGGTCTGGCTTTTCTCCGTGCCTTTGTTCCACTTTCACGTGCAGCAGCGTCATTCCTGAGTGACAAAGTCGAGTCTGCCTGTGCCTGAAGGACCAAAAACCAAGGTCAGGTGCAAAGCAAGTCCCTAAATGCTGCCTGTCATTTTTTTTCCCAGGCTTTAAGAAGTCCAGCTCATGTCCAGGGTTTCAGCCCTCTCAACCCAAGGACTCCAGGATCCTTTAATTCAAGCAAAGTGACACCAGGATCCTCTGATCCAAGCAGGAAGGTGCCACCAGGATCCTTTGATCCCAGTTGGAAGGTGACACCAGGATCCTTTGATCCAAGCAGGAAGGTGGCACCAGGATCCTTTGATCCCAGCAAGAAGGTGGCACCAGGATCCTTTGATCACAGCAAGAAGGTGCCACCAGGATCCTTTGATCCCAGCTGGAAGGTGCCACCAGGATCCTTTGATCCCAGCTGGAAGGTGCCACCAGGATCCTTTGATCCAAGCAGGAAGGTGGCACCAGGATCCTTTGATCCAAGCAAGGTGGTACCAGGATCCTTTGATCCCAGCAAGGTGCCACCAGGATCCTTTGATCCAAGCTGGAAGGTGCCACCAGGATCCCTTGATCCAAGCTGGAAGGTGCCACCAGGATCCTTTGATCACAGCAAGAAGGTGCCACCAGGATCCTTTGATCCAAGCTGGAAGGTGCCACCAGGATCC